GTCGCCGGTCGAGTCCCATGTGGGGAGGGGAGGAAACAGGGTGCCGACAGACGCGAGGTGGGTGTGGGGGAGGGGGAGAAGTGGGGAGGGGGCGGGGTCGTTTTGCAGGTGGCCGCGTGTATGTGTGCACGTATGTGTGCGTGTATACGTGTCATGTGTATGCCCCTCTTCCTCTGTATCTACATATGCCTACGTATAGACTGTGTGAGTATTTGTATAGATAATACCTATCTAGAGTTCTGTGTGTACACGTGTATTTGGTCATACGTGGGTGGGTGTGCATTTTTATGCCCCTCTCTTTCAACGTACGCATCTAACACGGGCGTGTCTGTGGGTGGATGCAATGATTTATAGGTCAGGGATCCATCTTACACCAAAGCAGGACGTGCCTTTGAGCTACAGCCTTTGTGTGTCTCGATGAGCTTCGGAGCCACCCATCTGCTGCTTCTTCGGGTCCCCTTGATGCAAAACACCCAGTGGGTGGCAGGGACCCCAAAGATCCCGCTGGTTTTTGCAGGGGTTGCTGCCCAAGGCACCTTGGAATAAGCCAAACCCATTTCAAATACTCCGTTTTAAAGCACAGGGCTGTAAAGGCTTTGTGTTCTGACAGATTCAGTCTGAAACGGTGATCATGATTTCGATCCACTCCAGTCTGGCTTCTGAGCAGAATTTTTATCACAAAACTTCTCTGATTGTTTTGGCCACAGATATATAACGGACGGATGGACAGAGAGCATGTGGTCCTCTACTCCTCTTGGCTATCTTCTTGGCTGTGGAATTCTAGGCCGGTCCGGTCTGTCTAGACTGGACCATGGAATTGGCTAGGGCAGTGACTGCAATCTTTTTTAGAGAACAGAATTTAGAAAGCAGTTTAATTTGTGGAAGGGATCGGTTTTTAGCCCCAGGGTCGTTACTAGCCAATGCATGGGTTCTTCCACATTCCCCATGTTGTTCATATCGACATGAAGCTCTGCTGGGAGAAGGGCTTTGGCAGGGTGGGTTGAGATGTCATTAATGCAGCGATGACACACAGCTCCACCTCTCTTTGCTATCTTTGGGTCCAGAAGAGATGGTAAAAATCTGAAATGGAACAGATCTATACAGGCAGGATTATAGCCTTTGTGCTAATTATCTCACTCACAATATACAATGCATATGTACATTAATTAAAGGAAATGTTTGTAGTACATATTGCATGTGGGCAGGATTAAAATTTAAAGGTACACAGAAAGGCAGTCAGACTGAGAAGCTTCATCAAAATTGGATGCTGAATAACTACCCTTACGTTAAATAGAAAACTAGCAAATCAAACATGCATTTTGTGAATGATCCATTTTTCCCCCTCTCTTTTAGATACTATGGATGAAACAAGATGCTGAAGGGATTAGCTACTATTTGGGAGCTTTGCTCTGGGGGATTGAAGTGTGAAAAGAACACAAAATGAAAATGCTTCCTGGCGTTGGGGTATTTGGGACCGGGAGCTCAGCCCGTGTGTTGGTCCCTTTGCTGAGGGCAGAAGGCTTCTCTATTGAGGCACTGTGGGGGAAGACTGAAGAGGAAGCCAAACAGCTAGCCGAGGAAATGGACATTTCCTTCTACACAAGTCGGACAGATGATGTCTTGCTGCACCAGGATGTGGATCTGGTTTGCATCAACATTCCCCCACCGCTAACGCGACAAATTGCTGTGAAGGCTCTAGGTATTGTGTTTTTCCTATAGCAAGTTTTGGGTATAGGATTCAATATTCTCTCTCTTCAACTGGAAGATGGTCACAGTTGCTGAGTAATTAATAGCAGAAAATTGAACGTTTCATTTTGGAACAATTTGTATCAGAGAACTGGGAATTCTGTTGTCAAAAACCCTCATGGCTAGTGAATTTCCAGTTGATAAAGTAAAGGCATGATGTTTGTTTCTAACCACAAACTTGGGGGACTGTTGTTACTCCAAAAAGATCAGACTATGTGAATCTCCCATGGGAAAAAAAGTGATCACCACACCACATGCCCTTGAGATACATAGACTGTGGAGAACAAACGGAGAAAATTAATACATAAAACATTTCCTGCAGAGACTCAGATTCACATATGATGAGGGGTTCCTGTAAATTATTAGGCTATAGGGGAATTGCTTGTGCCCAGATACGTTTCATTTCAGTCTGTCATAAACAAAACCAGGATTGACTCCAAGTTTTTGTTCTGCTTTTACAGGTACAATTTTCTGATAAACATATTTGCTTTTCTTAGGGTGGATTTGCATAGCAAATACCACACATTTTTGACAGACAGCCAGAGTTAATACTATCTTACTTTCTTTAAACCCAAAATACAGGTAGTCCTTATTTAGCAACCACAATTGGGACTGGCAACTCAGTCATTAAGTGAAGGGTAGCTAAGTGAAACCACCATTGCTTAGGGTCTTACTTCAGCTTTCCTTTACTTTACAGACCTGCAAAGGTTGTAAATGTGAGGATTGGTTTCAAAGTTACTTTTTCATCTCCGTTGTAACTGCAAATGGTCGCTGTATAAGCCAGTCACTAAACAGGAACTACCTGTATTTACTGTATGTATTTGTTTTGATGAGGCTTGATACAAGGGGAAATTTTGTTTTCTTTTTTAAGTTTCAGTAACAATATTGACATCTACAGTCTTTTCCTGTGCAACATAGCAAAAAATAGTTATACTGACAAAGGAATACCCAGAATAATTGCTTGGCTATGTGTATACAAAGATTATACATTTCAGGAGGACTATAAGCAGGAAAATTACTTAAGAATTTATATTCCTCTTAAATCAAGTTGAAATAACATCCCAGGCCTTCAGAACAAAAATGTTTTTTTGCAGAAGTTAAAAGAAGTGTCTTCTATGTATGACTGAATTAACTTTACATTTTCTGAGAACTTCTAAAGGACAAAATTATAAATAAACCAGCATGTTTCTGTGACTTTGCTGACCACTGAATATCTACAAAGACTTCAACAGCATCTTAATCCTTAAACAATAGAAGAATTGTTTTCAGATATCCTGAAAAAACGAAGTCTTAATGGCTGCATTTCTTATCAATCCATCTCATTGCTATAACACGTATTATGAAAACAAGCAGACAAGTTAATTTTTCATGGATGAATTGCTAAAAATAGCTGATACAGTGGCTTCCTACTGAATCAGCACAACCAGTTTAGGAATAGCTAAGTACTAAAAAGATGTCAAAAGGAATACAGAAAAAACATAAATGAAATGTAAGCACCTATTAGAATGTATCTTATCTTGCAGTCTATTTAGTGGGGAAAAAACAGGAATAGTATAGAAGCATGATAATCCTTGCAGGCAGCCAAAAAAAAAATAAAAATAGAATATAGCAGAATGTGAAATGAAAACAAATAGAGTAATAGGAAACATGAGTCCAAAAATATTCTAATTGGGATAAGAATGAACCTAATTAATAGCAGAAAGGAAACATTGGATTTTAGCCAGAAAACAGATCCAAGTTGGATAATCTGACAAGCAAACTTTTTCTAAAAGTATCTGCCTAAAATTGCAATTCTGATAATTTGATACAGATTAATAAGTATAGGAATATGAGGGTTTCCCCCCCCCATTTTGATACTAGTAGTGTGAACATTCGAACATGGATGCCCCAAGAGACTTAGACTAATCTCAAAGGCCCTTGGAATCCAGCAAATCTTATTTATTTTTTAAACATAAAAAACCTTAGCTAAAATTGCGTTTCAACAAATTGCTTGTAATGCATTCATATTTTTAGATGTTTATATGGGGGTGGAAGAGGAACACATGGCTGAAAAGTTTATTCATCTCCGAGTTGTTTAAGTTTAGAGATTTAATGCCCAACTATGAGGTCTTAATTAATAGGCCAACGTTGCTGTTTTAGCAGGTAGTCTGATTTTCTCCCTAAACTCCTTTGTATTTTGTATATATAAGAATTTGATTTGGTTTTTTGTACTTTCTTTTAGCTATTAATCAGGAATAACCAGGAATTCAGTACACTGAACGTTACATCAGCATGCAGAATATACCTTCCCCTCCATCTTTCCCTTTTGTGAAAATATCACTGAGAGATACTTATTGCTAGCTTTATATAGAAGAATCCCATTGATTTGCTTTCTTCTCTGCATACCTATGAAGAAGAAATCGTAGACTAATTATTTTGTTTTCACCTGCCTATGGAGTTTAATTATCAGCCGGAAATTGGCTACTTGCAACCACTCTGCTTTTGAAGGCTTCATTTTTGTGATTGTTTGGGTGTTGAAGAAACAGACTCCTGTTGACATCTGAAATAAAATGCTGTCCTTTGTTTGCAGGAATTGGAAAGAATGTAATCTGTGAGAAAGCTGCTACCTCTCTGGATGCTTTTAGGATGGTCACAGCTGCTAGATATTACCCCAAACTTATGAGCATTGTGGGCAATGCTCTGCGCTTTCTACCAGCTTTTGTCAGAATGAAGCAGTTACTTGATGAACAGTATGTCGGCAATATCCTGGTCTGTGACGTGCGTGTGTATTGGGGAAGCCTCCTCAGTCAGAAGTACAACTGGATTTGTGATGAGCTAATGGGTGGAGGTGGGCTGCACACGATGGGGACTTATATCATAGACCTTCTCACCCATCTTACAAGCCAAAAGGCTGAGAAGGTCCATGGGCTGCTGAAAACTTTTGTCAAGCAGAACTCGGCCATCAATGGCATCCGCCATGTCACCAGTGATGATTTTTGCTTCTTCCAGATGCTGATGACAGGAGGCATCTGTAGCACAGTGACTCTCAACTTCAACATGCCTGGTTCCTTTGTTCATGAGGTCATGATTGTGGGGTCAGCTGGCCGTCTTATTGCTCGTGGGATGGACTTGTATGGCCAGAAGAACACAGCTCCCCAGGAAGAGTTGTTACTTAAGGACTCTCTGAATATCCATGCAGAGCTTTCAGACAAAGAATTCAAAGACATCCCTCGTCTGTACCTCAAAGGGGTGGTCTACCTGGTGCAAGCACTCCGTCTTTCCTTCCAGGACCAGGAAGACCAGCGAACCTGGGATCCCAAACCCGTAGCAATGGCAGCTTCCTTTGAAGATGGTCTCTATATGCAAAGTGTTGTAGACGCTATTAAAAAATCCAGCAGGTCTGGGGAATGGGAAACAGTAGAGGAAATGACTGAGGAGGCAGATGCCAACCAGAACCTCTGTGAGGCGCTTCAGAGAAATAACTTATAATGCAAATATTCCTGGAAAGCAGAACAAGTGGAAATGGGGGGGGGGTGGAGTGGGAGCAGGAATAAAGAGGAATGGTATATGTGTGTAAAGGGGGCACCTTTGGTTTTTAATCTTGGAGAGTTTTAAACATTGAAGATGTGTGTGTCTTTGGTTACTTAAATTTAATAACTTGTGTATTGTTAGGGAAACTTGAATTGCCAGTTGCACTCAGCAGACAAGAGCTTTGTCCCCCAAAACGAGCTTTGGGGGACAAGACTCTCTTCTGTGCCCAGTCACATATTATGGCAAGTTGAACATATTGGCATGTAGTGCTAGAGAACGCTGGTTGTTGTTGCTTTTAAAATAGGAATCCAAGTTATTTCTTACAGCTCTTTGAGGGAGGAGGCTTTCCCCAAAGGAATATAATGAGGCAAATCTTTAAAGTTGGTCCTTAAGGAGATTAGAAGGGATAGGTTGCAATTATTCAGGGATAAACCAGTAAAGGTCAGGTTTATTCCTTGTTTTTTCCCAATTCTCACATGAAGCACAGTGATACTGTAAGACTAAAGCATGGGTCTGAGAGTTGCATTGAATTTGCCTGTTTCTAAATCTCCATGGTTAGATGCTCCAGACTCTTCCCACTGTTCCTCATTCTGTCAGTGGAAGTAGAAATGGAAAAAGATGGTTGGAGCAGAAAGCCAGAAGCAAGTGAAATGTGGGTGTATATATAGGATGGGGGTAGAGGTAGAGGATTTAGAATCCCCTTTTCTGTACCCCTTCCCTTGAAAAAGAACATTCCCCAGATCCTGCTTTTTGCATGAACAGGGTGAACATGAAAGTGACTGTTTTTCTAATTTGGATCATCTTCTTGAATGTATTTGCTTTATGTTATTTGACAGAGCACTGGATGGAATTCACTTGCTGTTTGTGCATATCAGTGCTGCTTACCCTCGTTGGCCATGAGACTCTGCCGTTTCTTTCCAATATTATTTTCTGTCCTTTTCCGCGCTAGCCAATTCCACCAATGTTGACTGCTTGGCGGTGCAAAAACCATGTCTGCAGCCAGCTTTGATAGAGATAACATAATGATCGATTTGGCTTTTTAAGGAAGCAGGCATTAAAATTGTCAAAGGAAACGAAGCTGGCTTTGAAAATAACCCAAGCTACCCTTAACCGTAATCCGGTAGGGCTTGGCATTTGTTGGAGACAATCCAAGATAAACAGCAGTTTAGTTTAGTGGATTGAATCAAACTCTGGTCCTTCACCTTTCCCCCATTTTATCCTGTGGGAACCCTGGAGGAGATTTTACTACCAGAACTCGAAGAAAAATGAGACCTAACTTTTTAATGAAGCATAATGTTTACTTGAATGTTATTTTATTTTTCTTACATTGTTTTCCTACTGGGTTTTAATCCTGTAAATTAATATAAAGCATTAACAAGCATTCCTCAGTTGTGTTCTTTTAAATGACAGTTTATAATGGAATGGAAACTAAGAACGGATATAGTCAAGTACCAGATCAGCTGCTCTACTCCCTGAGGAAAATTTCTTAATTATTTTTTTCTCTTTTATGACTTTAAAGCTATTTTTAGGCATCACAGCTATATCTTATGATTTGCATTTCAGTTACTGATTTACAGTTGGACTAAGAAGGTCCAGGGTTTATAAAGCTTCTATAGTAAGGAAAAGGCAAGTTCTTGAATGTTGATTTTTCCCAATTTCTCTTCCTAGTATGTGGTTAGAATGCTTTGGCAAGGACTGCTATGTTTAAAGCTTCACAGTGGCTGAGATGATAGACATTTGTGGTTAGATTTTGTGATAGAACACAAATAGCTGTGGGATAAAAAATGATGCTGAAGAAAAGGCTTAATTGCCATCCCTCTTATGGTGTGTTTTGGATCTGTGTTTCTCCCATCATGCTGCTCTTTGCAGATATGCACACAAAAAGGGAGAAAAGATTTTAAAAGCATCCCACAGACCTATATTCCCCTTTTCAGCGGCTTTTAAAAGCTGTGGTTGGGAAATCTGATCTTTGTATAGTGAAGACCAGAAGACTTTGTTTGCTAGCTGTGGCTTTTAATACACTATGCAATGTAGGGACATAAGGTTTGATTCCAGGCATTCAAAGTTCTAGCTCCTGAATTTTTAAAGTATATCCTGTTTATGTACTTTCATGGTAGGAAAGCTAGGGCTTTTGTTTTTTCAGATACAAGCCGATATCCTCCCTTAAAAAAATACTTCAGATTTTATTGTATGCTTTGTCCAAATGCACGAAATAAACACAGCTCCAGGTGGTAACTTCTGTTTATATTTTGCCTTAGTCAGAAGTACTGACTTTTGAAGTTATCAATTCCTCCTCCTCTCCCCCTTCTAATGTGAATAATTTGATTAAGTTAGAATTCCCAATGTCTCTGTACTTCAGCACTGAGGAGTCTTGTTCGATCTAAAAAGTGCTGATGATGGAATTCTCTCTAAGGAATTCAGGATTCCCTAGAGATCTCTGAAGATCCAGGCACCTGTATTTGTCCTAATAGACTCCCCTTCCTCCCTCCTCCCAAAGTACAATCCAGTGATGGGAAGGTGGAGAAATAATTTAACCTAAAGATTTATTTGAGTGAATACATTTTTATTGGCAAAGGACAGTGCAGTCTACCATACTCCTCCCATCTTATAAGTCTTGTTTCCTGGTTTATTTTCAATTTTAGAGATTATATCTTTTTCCTCCTTATTTTCCTCTGTTAAGAACGTATCTTTATCTGGATTCAAGGCTAGAAATACCATTTCTGTTCTCTGGGACTTCTTGTTCAACACATGGTACTCATGATATATTACCCAACAATCTCAGTAACAATGTGCATGTTTTGTGGGGGCATCTTTTTACTTTGTAAAGAATAGACTATAAATGGTGTGGCCTTGAACACACAAAGGATACTTAAGAACCTAAGACATCCATGCCATCTAGCGGTGGTTAGTCAGATGTTCTGGAAGACCAGAAAACTAGGTTACAGGGAGAAAGTCCTTCCCAGCTGCTATTAAAAATGCATAGAAATTAAGGTAGTCAGTGACATCAGGAAGAAGCAGGTACAAATTCCTACTATCCTTGCTTAGAGTAGTTCTGGGAATAAAATGTGGGGGAAATCCATGTACATCTTCCTTGATAATTGTGTGTAATTACTCAGCAGTGCTCTTGCAAGGGTTCAGGGAGGGTATTGAGATGAATGGACTGTCTTTTCTAATGCTAACTTGGGCTCTGGTTTATTTAGACCAGTGTTTCTCAACCTCGGGAACTTTAAGATGTGTGGACTTCAACTCCCAGAATTCTGAGAGTTGAAGTTCACACACCTTAAAGTTCCCAAGGTTGAGGAACACTGATTTAGACAGTAGCAATTCCACTCCTGCTTAGACTGGCCCCATTTTTTCTCTTTTTTACTGACAAGGAACAAATGCTTATAGTCTGACAGTTGACTATAATGAACAAAACTTGAGGAATTACACTCAGATGGGATACAAGGAGCATCTAGTAAAATTCCTGTCTCTGAAAAACAGCACTGCTGATCTCTTCAGGGAGGAGCTAGGCCTTCTGTCAGATGCGATTACTTGTTCTGTGGTGACAATGGAGGAACGAGATGAGCTGCGCAGACGCTGAGCATCTTATCAATGTCCACTTGAGTAGACTTATCTACCTCTGTTTTCACTACAGCACCTGAAGTGGTACTTGGTAGATTTCTCAGTTCCTTGCCTTTCTCTTCTGCAACTGCAACAGAGAATAAAGGGTCAGCATGGACTACTTTCTCTCCTAGGTAGATAAGGAAAGGCAAAGCTAGCAAACTAGTGGCTTTTTCAATTCCACATCATAGTTACTTAAAAACACATCATAACTTCAGATTTTTTTTAAAAAAGACACAGATTTCACATCAGGAATAGGTTTAGCTGATCACTGATCTTTTGGAGCACCAAATTATATTCAACCTATTTTTCAATTCCAACCCATATTAGTTTTGGAAAAGGAGCTAGGTCCACCTCCCTCTGTTTCCAGCTTGTTACCTATTGATGGAGTTATTCTCAGTTCTAAGGAGCCTGTCTTGTTCTCTAGGGGAGAAGGAACCTCCATGTGGGGCAGGTCATATTCCTTGTCCGATGGTCTGTTCATCTCTGGGTTGTCGTAGTTAATATATTGATATAAAGGACGCAAACGCTGGGACTTTTCTAGAAGTAATGACAATGTGAATGTTGGAGATCAACTGGCCTCTGAAATATAAGGAGCTATTAGTGAATACAGCTATAGTAGTCCTTAAACAAGATAAGGAAGGCATGTAGAGAGTATGATTTCTGGAATTTTTCCCAATTCTTTTACCAGCAGTTGCCATAGAAGGCATCTGTACTTTCTTTTGTGCAACAACATCACATCTGTGTATTTGTTTCTGTTTTTGCTTTTTTCTCATACTGTATGTATGTGAGTATGGGTATGCTAGGAAACACAAGGCAGGCCACGTACTCACCACTCTGGATCATGTGGCCGGTGGGGGGACAAGAGAAGGGGGCTTAGGAATAGAGGAGATGGCGGCATTCTGAGCCATTGCCCAAATGCCTTTCCATAGGAGCACATTGGGATTTTTTTCTTTCCCCAGGCCTGATCTGCATCATATTCAAACTCAATCTTTCTTTTGCTGGCTTTTCCCAACACATCAAATGTGGTCCTATTCTGCTCAGGTTTTAGAGTTATTCTGCTGAGCGACAGAATCCTAAGATGATGATTGATAGAGAGAGAGAGATGATAGATGATAGGTAGACAGACAGACAGAACTTCTCTTTCTCTAAGGTGGAAACTGAGATGAGTATAGTTCCTGCATCTTTATCTGGTACACACCTTGCAAACCTGTCCAGCTGGTAAAACCATAACAAACTGCAAACATCCTGCTTACGACTTGTAATGAAAAATTCATTCATTTTACATGGCACTCCATTTCTCAAGACTTCGAGTCATCTCTCCTGGGGTAAGGAACAAGGACTCTGGAACTGGAATTCCCATTCTCCCATGGTGGAATGTGTTTGAGAAAAATGTTTTTGGTTGTCTAAACAAGCACTAATACTGTCCTTTCTTTCTGATGTCTGCTAATGCATTTCTTGAAGAATGTCACAGACGTCGTGGTATGCTGGTCATGGGGCTGAGGGCAGGGTATAAGTAGCATTTGTTATACTTGAAGACCAACTAGAGAAACCACACACACACTCTACCTACCTACCTGTCTACCTATTTACCTGATCATCTATCTGTTTTCATATTGAGAGACAGAGAGAGAGAGAGATGTATCTGTACCTTATACAAATGGGATCAATTCCTTTTGCAGAGGGAGTTCCTTATTTACAAGTGGAGAAGGAAATACATTAATAGTAACTATTTGATTTAATATTTATTGATTTAATCTCTATCTGTTTTCATATTGAGAGACAGAGAGAGAGAGAGATGTATCTGTACCTTATACAAATGGGATCAATTCCTTTTGCAGAGGGAGTTCCTTATTTACAAGTGGAGAAGGAAATACATTAATAGTAACTATTTGATTTAATATTTATTGATTTAATCACATTTATGTTTATTCTTCTGTCGTGACCTTTTTGGGATGGGACTACTGGCAGAACAATCAACAGCTAATATTGCTCAATTAAAGCTGTACATCCATAAACTAAATGTACACTATCTTCTCATTTTCAGACTCTTGAAATGCACTACTTGCTTCAGAAAGTAATACAATGAAATACTGAATATTCCAGGTATCAACAATCGCTCAAACTCATGCTCTGATGCCGAGACTTTGATTTCTATCCACTCACTCTCTATAGTTGCAGATTCTGGAGGCAGAGAACTCCCTGTGGTGGCAGGTGGGACTGGGGTGATTTCTTGAGTTGACTTTCTTTTCTTGGATTTCTTGGGTTGCTTCAGCACAAAGGAAGCTTCAGCTTTGGAGCTCTCAGCCTCCTCTGCCCTTGGAGACAGCTTCTTGAAGTCTGCATGCTGAAAAACGAGCATGTCAGAGTCAGTTCTGTGGGGCAGAAAGAAGACAGGAGAAGAGCTAGAAGGAAAGAAGGGAGTTCCAGTTTCTCTCCCTTAAGCCCTATTTCATCTAGGAACCCCACATAGCTAGATCATTATTGTTTGTTTGACTAAATTGTTGGTATCCCCATGCATTTTTCTTGCAAGCATTCTTACTGAGGGCAGAAGAAACAGTTAAGATGAAGTCCTCTTCCAAGAAACAGGACCATGTGCAAATAGTCTTGAAACTCTTAGGTCAAGAAGGCTTTACGGATGATAACCATAGGGCTTTATTTTGCTATCTTAGGTGACATGATCCTTCCTATCCCATTCTGCATGGAGAAGCCAGCTGACCTAGCATTTGAATCCTTTATCAGTATCATTTTCCCCTTACATCGTGGTCTCCATCCAAAGTCAGGTTCAATCTCTGAAAGGAGGTCAGTCCTTTCATTCAAGGCACTTGGCAGTTTTCTTCCACTTCTGCTTCCTGATATCCTGAAACACTGAATCTGCGATACTAAGAATTCCTTTTCAAGTATGATCTCCTTCTGAGCTATAGGGCACATGTTTCTCACAACTTACTTGGTCATTTTTGCCTTGAAACCATAAGTAGTTAGCCAAGCTTGCAAAACTGAAACAGATTTCAGATTCTTGAGCTCAGGAAACAAGTCTTGGTGTTGCTGGATTTCTTCCTCATACATCTTGGCATGGAGGATAACACCCTTTCCATCTTCATGCCACTGGGAGAAGAGACACCATTACCATTAATCAGTATGGGAAGCCAATGTAGGAGAGGAGAGGAGAGGAGAGGAGAGGAGAGGAGAGGAGAGGAGAGGAGAGGAGAGGAGAGGAGAATGAAGTCTGAACATAATTTTCTCAGGAAGAATATGAAATGAATATTTTGGGGTGGAGCAAATTACCTTTAAGGCCTGGGGCATACTAAGAATTATAATTACATAGAGTGGGCTCACTCACAAAGTAGCTGTCTGAAGAGCGTTGTGTATTCCCCAAATGGCTGCCAGGGTGGGAATTGTGAATCCTAAAATACCCACTTACTCAAAGGCAAACTGAACTTTAGGATGTTCTCTATTATCTCAGTGGGACCCACATGGAGGCCAAAGACATCTCTGAAAATAAATATGATGCTAGATGTTGGACCTTTCATTAGCAGCATGCCAGATTGCTGTTTCTTTATTATTAAAAGTGCTTTAAATAAAGAGGGATAGGGAATCTGAGTGCCAAGGAAAGTAAGTGGGATGTACCCTGGCAACCCCTGATCTTGGGGCTAGAGAAACATTTTGGAGAAAAACTCTGTAGCTTTCCATAGCAGTAACACATATTTCTATTTCTGATTAGGATGAAGTGCATTCCTCTCTCCTGGCCATTCCTGCAGCAGGTTATCCATTCCACATTAGCAAGCACATGGGTGTTCCCAATGTTGATAAGTCATACATCCCGTCTGCTTTTCTTTCCTGCATTACTCATCTTTTACCTCCAGTGACTTGATGGTGGGGTTTTCCAAGGCTGCAGCCAGCTGGAACAGAAAATGTGGGGTTGTGGTCTTCCCTCCCAACTTCTTCTCATTAGGGCTTCTGGCACAGGCTGTCATCATCTGCCAGTTGGGGGGAAAAAATCAGAAATGGCATAGGCTGCTGTATGTATTTTGCTGGGCAAATAAAATAGCAGTTTTACACTTTGTTTACTGTTAGAAATCGTGGTTATTCCTGCTGTCAGGGCACCGTGTTTGAATTGTGGAGAGAAATAGAAAGTTAAAGAACTGGGTTGATGCAAAAGGTAGCAGGATAATGATCTTTCAGAATTGTACAAGAGAAAAATGCAAAGCAGCGCTTTTGGAACCCTTCATGGTCAGCTGTAGCAGCACAACTGGTTTTTAAACTGTTTATGGTTATTAAAGAGCCAGTTTGGTGTAGTAGTTAAGGCTCCAGAATAGAAACCAGGAGATTGTGAGTTCTACTCCACCCTTAGGCATGAAAGCCGGTTGGGTGACCTTGGGCCAGTCACTCTCTCTTAGCCTTAGGAAGGAGGCAAGGGCAAACCACTTCCAAAATCTTTCCAAGAAAACTGCAGGGACTAGTCCAGGCAGTTGCCAAGAGTCAATACTGACTCGAAGGCACATACACACAGACATACACACACAAACACACAAGCACACAGGCTATTAAACCTGTTGAGACCCTGATCTTCTTTGAATTAAATCATCGTAAAAACAGAGTTAGATAGGCCTGACACTTTGTGTTAAGTCATGGCTTTCTTAACTATAGTTTATGAAAATGCCACAGTTGGCTTCATGCATTCATGGTTCAGAGACCATTATGGTTCATTATGGTCATGGTTCAGAGACCATTATGGCTAAATTCACCCAATCTACTGAACAGCTAGCAAGCAAATAAAATTATGACAGTGCAATTTGTGAATATTGCTACATGGTCATCCCAGAAGTAGGTTTCATGCCATCACTGGAATGAGGATTTCCATATGGATTGAAACATGCAAGACTACTGTAATGGTCAAACACTAGTTGACCTATTTGATTCAAGGGCTATCCTAAGAATACAGAATACAACTGGAACATATAATGCAAACGATTCTGGATAAACAAGTAGAAAGTGGAGTTGTCCTTGGCTGAAGTTTCTTAACATGACCAAACTTGTTTTTTATTTTTTTTACTTCCTACAAATAATCATAAATACTACATTTTGTTAGGAACAGCTTCTCTTTCCTTTTAGCATTTACTGAAATAATTTTATTTTGAAAATAAAGACAAAAAATTAAGACAACATTGTTCTTGAAATAGCTTAAGATGCATTCCTTGTAAACTGCCAAGATTCTCCTGATTGCAATATCATTTGTATGTGAAAAATAAATGCATGCCAGTGAGATTCAGGCGCCTTCTCTATGAGACAGATTTTTGAACTGCAGTGAATTACATGATTAGCTTCCTTTATTCTGTCATGAACACTGCATATAAAGAACTTCCCACCTTTCTCATCACTCTGTTGTGTTTACAAAAGCAGGTAGCTAATCTATCATCAAGAAGGCAACTAATCTAAAAGAAATAATCAGTAGGTCATGCCTTTTGTGATGAGGTAAGAAGGATGCAGGAACCTACATCTTTCCAAGATATTCATCAGTTTTGGAGATGATTGGCTCAGCCTTAGAGAAATATGGCTCCATTCCCATGGAAGCTCTGGGTGAAAACTCTAGTTATTATTACACCCTCTCCAGCAAGTGATGTCAACTGAACTATAGCACAAAAAGGTACTTCTGATGTGCCAAGGATAGAAGCTTTTTCTGGTGCAGCTGTGTCCTTCTCAGTGACCAACAGATGTTCCTTCCATAACTCAAGCTGCTCCTGCTGATCATTTTATTAAGCTGCTAAAGTTATCTTATTTACCACTGGATCATGAATCATGAGGATTTTCATAAATCCTGAAATCCTAATCAGGATTTATTTTAAAAAGTTAAGGAGCTTCTGTTTCCCATTTCTACTGATGGACACTTGTAAGCTATGGGCACCCTAGCATCAACTTCGTGTCATCATTCAAACTGAGGACTTCAACTCAGTGAATGCTGGCAACTCAAAAACAGAAGGATAGAGTCCTCACCACAGCTGTCTGTGACAGTTTGTCTAGCCTAAAGCGTTGGTGAGTTTCCACTGCTCTGTCCAGTAGTGATTGGTTAGTAGGCCTTGGAGATATTAGTCTGTCTTCCTTGAGGACCAGTTGCTAAGCTACAAGGTTCATAGCATTCTGCTGCCTCTCCATCAGTGGCTGGGAATCTAGATCCTTTCTTCTCCACATCTCCACAAATGCCTGCTACATTATCTATCCATCAGCCTCTTGGAGATCAAATAGTACAGTAGTGACAAAACTGCACAATATGTTAGCTACAGAAAATCTGGCTGCCCTTCTCTCTTTTGTCATGCCATTGCAGTTGTGCCAGACGTAAATCAATGGACATGGAAGGAAGGAAAAAGCTTGAACATTCACCACCAGTGGATCTCTTTCTTATTTATCTAAAACCTCAGCCCATTGTCTCGGGAGAAGGCATTAATGCTAGGAAAGGTGGAAGGAAAGAGAAGAAAAGGACAACCAGCAGCAAGGTGAATGGACTCAGTTACAGTAGTGATGGGGGCACCATTGGAAGACCTGAAAGACTGGGTTAGGGACAGATCTTCATGTAGGAAATCTATCTATGTGGTCACTAAGAGTCAACAATGATTTGATGGCACATGATCAGTCAATCTGCCCAATGATATATGGGATGAGGGGAGACCTGTGGAGCACATGGCTGAGCAGAAGAGATGCTTTCAATAAAAACTGAAGCATTATAATGATACAATTGTAAAAAACAGAAAAGCAACTGTGTGCTCTGTGAGGGCTTCTGAGCTACCAGCTGTAAGAAGCTTGCCTTGGTGAGACTACAGGGGCATTTTACTCCAGCATATGAGTTTTCACATCGGTCAATCACAAACAGGATATGAAGAGTGTTTGAAGATGGACTTGTTTTATCTTCAGATTCTTAGTATTCTCTGGCATTCTTTGAAGCTAAATAGTATTGAGTTCAAGGGGACACATTTCCAGGTCAGTACATGTACAATTGCAATATAATAGAACCATCTTCCTTTTTTATTATATCCTGCTTTCCTCCCAAAAGAGGGGTCAAGAGGGCCAAGTTCAATAATAAAATAATATTGTATTTGTTTCTAATGAAAAGGTAAGAGCAAATTAATTAAACTCACCAGCCGAAAGGAAGAAACAGCTCCAACTAGTCAGCCTGGCTGAATAGCAAAGTGTATTTCTGTATTATTGTGTTTTTTGCTTGTAAGCCAGGTAGAACTGTAATGATTCAAGTGGCATAAAAGCTTCTCAATATAAAATATAGCATATAACATATAAAATAAAAAATGATATGTCTTTGCCTCTTGGCCAAAGGATAACAGAGAGAAAAGTAGCTGTACAAGAAGTTCCAAAGATTGCCGTAGGATGCAATTTTACGTAGTCTTAAGTATACCATATGGTGCACTTTTATATACATTGATTCTGCAATAAAACACTACTCAGAGGAATGGCATAAAATTTACTCCTCAGAAAGTGTGCTTAGGATCGCAGACTTGCCTGCTAACTTTACAGTGACAGGATTCCTACACTGAGCTAAAACATGTTTTGCTTAGCTATAGGGACCTGAAGACCTGGCTTTGCCATCTGGCCTGGGGATCAGATAGTGGTGGCACAGAGCCAAAAAAATGGTTGTACTGCTCCTGAACTGACGGTGCTCTTCCGTTGATTGTACTGTATGGTTTTTAATCATTTTAATGTTTTTAATGCTTGCATGGTTATTTTACTTTTTGGTTTTCTGGCATTGCTTATGTTTTAATTTTGTAAGCCACATATGTGAGATGGGCAGCTTATAAATTGAAAAAATAAAATAAAATAAAATAAAATATAAACCAGCATGGGCTGGAATCATACAAAATAAACCATAAACCAGTGACAGAGCACACATGGCTGGTAGACTGCATGCAATGCTCCAATGCCCTGATGCTGCATTGTTGAAATTCAGCTACAAAACAGAGGTTTGATTCTGAGCAGGAAATGATGGACTTAGCAGGATAGGTGATGCCAGCCAGAATCTATTGGATTTCTTTGTGGATATGCAAACTGGGGAAGTTTACTCTGTGTTACAAGTAAATAATTTACCTGTCATTATCATTATCATTATTTGATTCCAAGTCACATCCACTCCAAGGAGATACAAGCCGTTGTCAGGGATAATGAAAAATAGTAGTCCACCAAGATTTTGAAAGCTGTGTTTTCTACCTTGTATTTGTCACTGACCGTGTCACTTCAAACAAGTTATGTTGTGACATATTTCCAGAAGAATAGCTGTATTAGACTGTTGCAGGAAACAGAACAGAGTCCTCAATCACCTTAATAAACTAACCTTTAAGATGTCACAAGCCTCTTTGATGTTGCTGGATGATGTGAATTGTCTATCAAGTGACATACAGTACCCACTTTTGTTTGTTTGTTTGTTTTGGTAAACACTGTACAGATGAGCACTTCTTTAGACTTCCTACCTTGAAGAAGGCATCCATTGCGCCTGGAGAGAAAAGATATCCCCACTTTTTCTCCAAAAGTGCTTTTTCAGGGCATGATCAGAACCTAAAAAAATAATTTCTTGCAGACCGAGGACATCGGGCATGGTCATGGGTTATTGTTTTTAATTGTTGGGTTTTTTATCTTTGTTCATGGAGAAAATCTATCTATGTGGTGGCTAGGAGTTGAAAAACGACTTGATGACACATAATCAGTCAATCAATCAATCAGTCAGTCAGTCAATCAATCAAATCATCTTTGTATGCTGCCCAGCATCACTAATGATAATAAATATACAAATGAATGAATGAATGCATGTAAAAAAAAAAAAAGGGATCCTGAGAGAGAAAATGCTGGCTGAGAACTTGGGGAAAGGAAGCCCAGCACACTTGGAAAGGCTCCGTTTGGAACGGTTCTAAGCAAGTGAAGGGAAAGGAAGACTACAATTCCCAGCAACCTCCGCTCTGGTTCCAACCTGTACCAGGAAGTACCGTTGCTAAGAGACCGGAGGCGGGGAGTCCAACTGTCTGTCTCCGGATTTTTCTCGGCATCGCTGCGCAGGAAGAGCCGCGCGGGACGCCTGGAGAGGACTGGCTCCAGATGTGAGTGAGGGGCTTCGTGGGGACGGGGGTGGGAGAGGAGGGCGCCTGGGGGTCGGACGAGCGTCTCTGGGAAATTGGTGGGCCGCTGCCGCGATGCAGCCGGAGAAGGAGGCGATTCGCCTCCATGGGGGGAAAGGTCGGGGTCCTCCAGGGTGGTGGGAGCTGGGAAGCGTCATTCCCTGGGCTTGGAAGGGCGGAGGGGGCCACCGAGGGATGGAGTGCAGTTGCTCACGACATGTGGGTCTTGCATTTCCTCCAGGAGCAGCTGGAGGTGGAATGTCTAGCTTTGCTTGACATGTCTAGCTTTGCTTGAATTTCTTATTCACAACAACCCTGTGAGGTAGGATGGCAAGTAGGACTGGCCCCAGGACCCCCAGCGACTTGGCCTGGGGGAAACCTGAACCCAGGTTTAAAGCCTGTGAGCCCTGCATTGCGTTGCCTCTAGAGGTGCCCAGAGTCATGGAGAGTTGGGTGGCATACAAATTGAATACATTATTATGGCTGTTGTTGTTATATTGTGTCGTGTGATCAATATTCTCCAGTTGTTGTGGTGGTTCATTTTGAGGGGAGGGATCCTTCAGATGCCAGGATCAAAGTGGGGCTGTGTCTACGGATGTGAACAGGTTGAAAGTGTTTGCGGTGTTCTCCATTCGTTCCATGTCTTGGGGTTTTCTCCATGGCTTACTAAACCCACTCAATGGGCTGCATTCATGCAACATACTGGGCTATAAACGAACCACACTAGCTAGGTTTCCCCAGCATGTGGAGCCACAAACTAGCTAACCATGGTTTCCCCGGGCATTTGGGCCAGAAGGTTCAGTGAGCATTGCTGCTGGTGTGTTTTTTATGATTAGGATGTACTGTATTGTTTACCTCCAATGTCTCAGGTCATTGCTTGTGATAGACAGACAGACAGACTGCAGATCTGGCCACCAAAGTTTCAACTGTAAAGGAAGGCGAAGGAAGGTTGCTTAAGCACACTCACTAGGATGCTAGTCTCAGTAAGACACAGTAGGGCATTCCTTTGAGAAAAATATGCATTTTTCTTTTAGCAAAGTGTTAGTAACTCTGTTACAGTAAATTAATAGTAGTGAAGTCATGTTGGTTGAAGAATCTAGCAGACAGGATCGTGCTGAGAGGGCCATGTGGGAATCTAACCAAAAGTTTGGGTGCAGTCTGGCCTAGGGCAGGACTTGCATATGGTTGACCCAATTTAATGTTTTATAATGAATGACTATATTTGTATTGTGCCTTTTGTCTGAGAAACTCAATGAGAAAGTGGTTTCTCTCCCTCCATTTTGCTCTTGTGACCACCCTGTGAGTTAGTCTGAGGGTCCTTCCCTGCTGCTTCGTTAGAAATGCTATCAAGTCATCCTTGGATCAGCGGAAAAAAACCCTGACATACGTTTTTTTACCCCTAATGCTGTCTCTGCCCTGCCTCTATTTTCTCCTCTCTTGCTGCTGAAATGGATGCGGTCTGTTTACTCAATGCAGAGCTGGAGATTGATGTATGTTATACTACAGTTTGAATAAGCTGTGAAATCTGGCTTTACAAATCAAGTTAAATCATAAACCACAGTTTGGATAGGGTCATACTACCCATTATGCCAGAAACCACTTTATCTATGAACCCAGCCATAGATAATTTTGCATTAGAGTTGGCTACAATTGGGAAAAAATGTGATAGATCAAGGCAAATGTTCCCTAGCCTGTGCATCTCCTACTTTCCCCTCCCCAAGTTGGCAACTTGTTGGTATAGAGGTGCTTCCTTTTCTTGTCTGCCTGCAAGAAATAACTGATTGACCACAGTTACTTTCTGGATTGACTAATGGTTGTTTTTGTGAGTTTCCAAAGATGATTTCAGCAGCTGAGGGTAAAACAGTGGTACCACTGGTGGTCCTCCATGCTGCAGCAGCATCTTAGTATGAGTAGAGGGGCTGGTTGTGTGAACAGGCCCTGCTCGATTGTGATCTGGCATGAAATCAGGATGTAAAGCATAAAACGTTAGAGGCCGTGAATTCCTCCCTCTCTGTTGACTGACTCTGTTCTGTCTTGTCACTCTGGAAATGGACTTGTTTAGCCTATAATACTAGTGAACCCACAGAGCTCTTGGAAGTGACCAGACCCCCAAATGTACCTCTTTAAAAAATGGGAATCTTGCATGCTGAAAAGCAGTGGTACCATTCTCCATTACTATTATTTCCAAAATGCCTCTGACACCTAAATGTTTGCCCTATATTTCCTTAGGAAATTTTAAAAGGAAAAAGGAAAGCGGTGGGTAGCTGAAGCCCAGGGCGTCACTTGGCAATATGTTCCCCTGCCCTGAAAAAGGATCAAAAAGGAGGTAGCAGAGAGAGGGTTCTGCAGGAGGAAGAGGGGGTGTCTAGTACAGTCTTGCTTCCTACCTGCTTATGGCCCTGTGGCAAGCCTTATGTGGACAGGTGAGGTCTCCCATCAGCTACTTGCAAGAGCACTCCAACATCATCTCAAAATTCCAGATGTGCTCAGAAGGCAAGGACTTCTGTTGCAACAACCAGCCTATCTGAGCGAAGCCTGCTAAATGTTGTGGCGGGGGAGGGAGGGGGGCGAGGGTGTTCTTACACCAGAGTGAAGTCTGCCTTTCCAGCAGCTTTCCCAGGCTGGAACTACCTGCCCCTTGATTGCCCTCCAAATGTCCGTTACAAAAGGCCCTCTTGTCTTCCCCTTTTAGATCCTTGCAGTTCCATGATTTCAGGCCAAACCGCCTTCCAAGCGTATGTTTGTGCTTGGCTCTTAACAGCCGTTTACCTTCCAAGCTGACAGAATAAACATATCTCTATGCTGTGCCTGGAATGAGGCCAAGAGCTAATCTGATTCTCCTTCTCCTTCTCCTTCTCCTTCTCCTTCTCCTTCTCCTTCTCCTTCTCCTTCTCCTCCTCCTCCTCCTCCTCCTCCTTCTCCTTCTCCTAGTGGTGAGAGGAAAGCATTTGGCTGCTAATGCTGAGACAGGCCTGATACTGTGCCAGTCATTGTCTTTATGCAAAAACAGGGATCATTCAGTTCCATTTGCTTCTCCTAGGTGCTGGGAAGGCCTCAGGAGATGTTTAAAATCTGCTTTCAGGACATTTCAGAGACTGCCGTGGTTTTGCTCACTGTCTGCAGGCCCGCCTGGCTGCACAGGCAGTTTTCTCATATCTGCTCATGCACCGGAGCTGTGCAGCGCAAGCAGATGACCAAGGCTTTGATGTTCCTCTGCTGTGTAGTCATGTGTGAGGCATGCTTTTGTGGGATACAGTCCTTGAGAAAGAGGGCTCACAACTGATCACAGCTGACTTGGTTCGGACCATGCAGTGTAAGCAGCCACTGATATGGATTGCTCTAGGAATCTCCTGGCCCCAGAGTATGTTATCTGGACTAGAGCTTGGGGATATTGGATTTAGTTGCAACTGGAGGACCACAAGGGGCTCGTCCCTAATATAAGGGGAGATTGATAGAAGCAGGAGACGGCCACCCTCCGGACAGTCTGGCCTCCAGCCGTTCAGAGCATTAGGGAGCAAACCCAGACCTTTTGAACTACATTCAGGAACAAAGTAGATGTCAACAAAACATTGTGACTTCAACAGGTTAACAACAACAATAACATGACCAGTTGTGTTCTGAAGCAACTGTAATTCCCCCATACTTTATCATAAGCAATTTCGTATATCTACTGCAACAGCTATTCTGGGCATGATTGAGGCACATAATGTGTGAATAGTGCAATATGAGAGAAGAGAAATACATCTAGTTTTGTGCCTGACATTTTCCCTCCTTAATGATACAGTGGTTGATGACTGCATTTTTTCCTAGACATCTTCCTTCTAACTCCCTGTTCTTCCAGATACCCTGCCCACACTTCATCGGTGGTTCCATAGCATACTTTGTTCCTGATGCAACAGGTCTCCAGAAATATGAGATCTTGCCATTCATGGTTGGAAGCTAGGAAGTAAGGTTGAGATGTCGGAAGGTCCCTCCAGGATCACAGGACCCATTCCTCCAGATCCTACCCTTTGCCCAGATTACTACAGACGCCCGCTATCAGGTTAGTGTCCTGGAATTCTTATAAAGTCTGTTTACCACACTGGACAGTAAGCCTGTCCTCCATCCATAGGCTGCATGTTTGTCTTCCTACATCCCCCATGAAACAGAGGGATCTCTCAGCTGGTTTGCTCCGAGTGAGCGCTCTCCACTCTTCCCTTCTCCAAAATGATACTTTCAGACTGCTGAACTGAAACTTCCATAATGCCCAACCTGTATGAATATCTATATGGCATTCTTTACTGTGCAATTAATTTCTGCTCCCTGCCTCTGGCCCTCTGGCCTTGCTACAAATTGAGGATTTTCTGCCGCCAGTTTCTTGCTACAAATTGAGGATTTTCTGCCGCCAGTTTCTTGCTACAAATTGAGGATTTTCTGCAGCCAGTTCTGCTCTTAAGCTGATGACCCCTTCCTGTTTTTCTCTTTTTGTGTCTTTAGCGCGAGGAAGGCTGGAAGGGAACTCTCTGAAATTGGATTTGCTCCCTGGCCCCATCCCTCCAGAGTCTAGCCTCTACCCTGGGTGCTACAGTGCTCGCTGCCCCCAGCCTCCTCCACGAATTAAGCCCAACGCCAAGGACATCTTGGAGACAGGACGAAAGGGCACTGTAGGAGTGCTATTGAAGCTAGATGAGATCTCCTTCTTCGAAGAGTTGAGGCCCAAGCGTAAGTGGATAGCCAGATTCAACAGATGTTGGTAGAGTTTTGTCTAAGCTGCCAACTGGGCCTGTAGTTCCCCATGTCTGCTCTCTTAAGACATTGTGGAGCCGGTATGGCCAGGATGTCTTCAGTGACACCCTGTCTATGAGGACATCCAAAGAAGCATTCCTTTTCCTTCGGTGCAGGCAGGGATAACAAAGACCATGAGAAGGAGAATCTGAGGCGTATGAGAGAAATCCAGCGGAAGTGCAGAGAGAAGGAACAAGCCCGGGAGCTGAGCCAACCCAAGCCTGTGAAAGCCCTGTGGAAGTCACAGAAGTATGAAAATGTGGAATCCAAAGTCAAGGCAAAGTTGCAGGTACCACCAGTTATGCTGGGTTTTCTTGCTCCCCTTAATTAGCGCAGTGGAGAAACAGTCTGGTATATCAGTTAAGGTAGTGTTTCTCCACCTGAGCAACTTCCAGATACGTGTACTTTAGCTCCCAGAATTCTTGGCAATAGCCATGCTGGCTTAGGAATTTTGGAACCTGAAGTCTAGCCATCTGGAAGGTTGCCCAGGTTGGGGAACACGGGGCTACAGTGCTGTACTGGGGCCTGCAAGATTCAGCTTCAGGTCATCAGAGTCATTCACTCTCAATCCAAGCCACTTGATGTATTTTGCCTTGAAATCCAAAGGATAAGTGGGAAATAAATATGACTTTAATTTTGATTTTTTGGAGGTTGGATATGTTGCCTCATTTGTGATAGGTTTTATTGTTTTTAATTTGTTGATGTTATTATGTATTGGTTTTATCTTTGTATGCTGCCTTGAGTTGCTTATCAATTGGGTGGCTATATAAATTGATCCAATAAATAAATAATAATCAATAAATTAAAAAAACCCACCCCACCCATCTAGCAAGAACAATACCAATATTGGAGCAGGCTTGGTAGTAGATCTCCTACTCTGCACTGTGGGTATAGACCTCTTAATGCTTCTGAACAACAGCTCCCAGCTTCCCTCCCATTGACAGCTATGGATGCTGGGAGATGTAGTTCAGCACCTGGAGGATCACAGGTCCCCCACACAAACTCAGTTGGCAGCCCTTGATGCAGAAGACAGGACCAGCCCAACCTTCCATGCAGTGAAGCAACTGCTTCTTGTAGCAAATTGGGTTCAAGCTTCCATCCATTGCTCTCCTGGCCTGCCACCAAGAGTACCAGGACAGGGGGTGCCTTATCTGCTGTGCAAGAACAAGTTGCAGGAATGGGGAGAAGAATACTTGTTCCAGACAGTGGGTCTATTTGACCTGGCAACAGAAGATGGGAATGATACTTCAAGAAACGGGACAAATCTTGCAAGCGTTGAATCAAACATGTCTGTTGATTTAATGTATTTCTTTCTTCCGCGGTGACAGCTGCTGCTGCTGCTGCTGCTGCTAATAGAGCACTCAGAATGGCCAGTAACGAACTTCCTTAAGAGATGCTTGGCTCCACTTCCAAGGGACATAAATGAGGCCCCCAAAGTGGGGTGAGGACAAGACAAACTGGAATAAACTGAGCAATATTAAATTTACTGAGGGCACCGGAACTTCAGTGGAACTTTCTCTGAGTTTTCAGCTTGGAACTTTTTCTGGCCACGCAGTACTTTGTTTTCATCTTCTTCTCTCAAGTAGCTGTTTCTTCTCTTTCTGGGTTTCGCAGGAGGATCCTAGTCCTCCAAATCCGGAGGCTCAGAAGTACCTGAGAGCCTATTCTCGCTGTGGCACAGGAATTCATCCACGCCGACCGCTGTCACCGAGCCCCTCCCAGTTGCATGAAGTGGATTCAGGAGCTGCCCAGGCTCAGAATGGGAGCATCAAGGTGTGTGTATGTGTATAGATGTGTACTGGGGAGGGGAGGGAAGTGGGGTATGTGACCAGTAAAACATGACAAAAGGCAATGTGCGGCCTCCATGTGGCACTGTTATGTATTATATGAACCCAGATTGTGGCATGTTCAACAAAGTATGGCTAAAACAAATGTGGCTTGCTGTGGCATGTGAACTCAGAAAGCAGCTGGGCCCCCCTGGGCACCAGACTGCGGTTGGTTTGCCTCTCTTTATTTTACAAACCCAGCCATCATCCTTCATTCAATAAATGGGGGTGGGCAACTCATACCTGACCCACAGCCCTCCCCAAAGCCCTTTATGCAGCCCGTGGCCCAAGAAAGTTACCCACCCCTGCAGTAAACTATGATTAAACCACGATGATGGCCCAATGGGTGAACCTAGCCATTTCTGGGTTGCCACCCCACAGAAGCTCCGCGCCTGCTATCTCTGCCCTCTTCTTTTCCATTCCAGGTCCAGGAGAAGAGCAGTAAGGTGGATTTTGTCAGCCACAATGCCCAAAATGCAAAACGAGCCTCGTTGCAACGCTCGCGCTCCCTGCAGTCAATAACCAAAGTCCTGGAGCAGAAGCAGAAGGACCTGGAAGAATACAACACCAAGCAGAAAGGCCATGTCCCCCGCTAGTAAGCTCTCTGGGCTGCCTGAGATGATGTGGGTTGCATGCCAGCCTATTTAGAGGGTGGCAGATTGGGAAAGGCTGTGCTGTCCTTCTGCAGAGGGCAAGCAGCTGCCTCCTGGAAATCTTGGATAGCCGCTCCTCTCTGGCACTTTAATATTTCAGAGAATGCTGTTTCCAAACAGTCAAATCTAGCTTTGGAAACATAAGGCCTGGAACATGTATTTACAAACAAACAAAACAGGTGAGATTTTTCTGCTCTTACGGCCTGTTTTGCACTGTTGTACTATCCATGCTAGAAACTAAAATCTGTACTTTCAGATTCCATTTCAAAAAGATGCTTCATTGTTCTGCAGCTCTTTAAAGCAGCTGTGTCTTTTCCCAGGACTGCGTGGCTGCCCTCCACGACTATCATGTTTCCACTGCTTAGCGCTGCTATGTCTTATTACTGTACAGCTTTCTTGTAGTTATCGCCTCCTCTGAGTCCCATTGCTGGAAGGCTGGATTTGTGACCATGCTGGAAAAAGAGAGCATCTTGGCTCTTTGCTTCTGTTTTGCAAGAAGCTGGAGGTTGGAAAGGGCCCAGCTTCCTTCCTTCCAGCTCTGGATGTTGTCTCCACTTTGCTGTTCTTGTAAGGGAGTTCCTCTTTCTGCTCTGTCTAGCCTGATAGAGAGGAAGGACCACTGGCGCAGAGAAGCTGAGGAGCGCCTGCGTAACATGCCTGATCCGGACACACCCCCAGGCCATGCCATGATGCCTGAGAGCCAGCGGCTGGAAACCCTAAAGAATCTCAAAGAGAGTAAGAAGGGTGGAGGTGGAACCCTTTGAAGCTTCCTTATTATAGACATGGTCCATACCCACAATGAGCGAGGCTAAAGAGCTAGGGGCTATGCTTACCTGAGACTGTCCTTCTGTGGTTCTAGCACGTTGGAGGAACCCAACCTGTTTGTGCAGCTCAGTGTATTGGGCAAATGTAGAAAACAGGTAAATGTGGTAACCAAACTAAGCATGTTGTAGTGAACAACGCCATAAAGTCAGTCAATCTAGTTCTAGTCCAGGAGGCAACAGCCCATGGACTCTCACAGAGGTCTTTCCCAACCTTGGAACATTTCAGCTGGATCTCCATCTCATCTGGGTCCACTTGCATGGTGCTCTCTCTATGCCCAATGTCCTATTAGGTCAGGAAAAACTCCAGGAACTCTTACAGTAGAAGGCCTACTGGAATCTCCTTGGCTTCACAGGAGTTTTTACAAGAGCTCTCCATCAAAACCTGTTGTTCCTTTTAGGGACATGTTTGTCTGTGTAAAATGGGAGGGGAAAGTTGAAGCATGGATGAAATGTGTGTAAATATTAGGGAACATAAGTAGATAAGGTAGGCCCCTTGTTTATTTTGGCCCAGCCCAATGCAAGTGTGAAGCCTCCAGGTTGTTTGAACAATTGATCAGTTAATCCATTTTTGGGTGTACACAACATGGTAGGCGGCTATAAAATGGGGATTAGGTAGTTTGTGATTTAGCCAGCTACCAAAAACTTTAGTACGTTGGGTAAACCAGATCATTAAGTAAAGCCATAATTATGGTATAAAGCCATAAACATGGCAGCACATGTTATATAACACAGCAACTGTTGTTCAGTTAATGTACTGTATGTTTACCATATTGTATGAGCCCAAACTAAGGTTAGGATTAGGTTTCAGGTGTTACAGTCCTTACACTGTATGGGACAGACAGACAGAAGACTGGCAGAGCGCATCCACGAGCACCAACGAGCAGTCAGAAGACATGATGAAAACTCCTTAATCTCACAACACATGGA